TTCAATCGAATACGAATTAAAAGCCAGTATTATTATTTAAGGATTTAAATAAAAATAAGACATGTGAATCACAGGGCGTCGAACGTCAAAACATTGCTAATTTAAGCCTAATTTATATGTTTCGAGATATCTATACAAATTAAAATTGTAGTGTTTGTTTTTAATGTCAAAATAATAAGTTTTTTTCATGCACATACGGTTATTTCGGCGTCATGAACTGCAGTCGCGTTCCGTACTACACCACTAAGGCAGAGCTTTTCAAATTCCACGCGAATAAAGTCGTACCATCTAGTATATTTATAAGGATAAGAAACCATTTTTATTGAGTGTCTTATAGTGCATTATATGATACTATGAGAACAAGACGATAGACGAAACATCGATCGATCGAAAAGAGTGCACACTGGTTGGTTGGGATTTTCCAACTTTCAAAAAAATAGAGATAGGTAACTGTAGTTTTTGATTAGATTTAGATCAATGTTTTTAAATACTATTAAGAATACTGCTGTGTTACTTTCACTATTTTGTAGACAATCGTTTACGAGTTACATTGTATCAAAATACACATAGCTAATTGCATATTCAGTAAATACCAGATAAAGTTGAAGGAATCAATATTAAAAGAAACAACTCCTATCTGAAAACAGTGTCTAAATTATAGAAATAGTTAAGTGCCTATTATTACAGTATCAGCAAAAGATATGGCCTTATATCAGCCATTTGAACACATCCAATTTAAAATAAAGGGTCTTGATAGACAGACAAAGGGACAACAAAGTGATCCTATAAAAGTTCAATTTTTTTTCCTTTTGAGGTACGGAACCCTAAAATACAATAATCATACCTGTTAATATGATAGTATCTTCTATCATATAAATCTATGCTTACATTTTAACTTACACATATTATATTTCATATCACACTCTGTTATCCTGGTGAGTAATTATTATTTGAATACTTAGTCTATATTTCTTCTTCTTGCTTCTAGCAAACCAGACATTGTTGATGAGTGGTTGTCATATTCAACGACCACTCATCAGCAGTGTGTAGTTTTTGCAAACATTTTCTAAGATTAGAGTAAATAAATATAGATATAAATATCCTATGTCCTATGTTTATGTAAACTATGTTTATTAAGAAAAAAATTACCATCAAAAAAAGCCTCATTAAACAAGCAATAATATAAAACACTTAAATCGAATTTATCATTTTAAGAGGCACAACTATTTAATATTCTTAAACATTTCTCAAAATAAGCATAACAGAAATGAATGAGCAAAATATGTAAAAAAAAACTGACTCAGTTGTAGTGTGAGTAGTTTACAAAAAATAAAATTTTAATAACTTTTACTCTCAAATTATAATCAAATTATACTATATTCTGTTTTAATTATGATAAACTCAAGAACTGTGATAATAATATTAACATACTATAAGAATAATGAAACAAAATAATAATTTTAAAATGATAATATATTAGTTTGTGTGTAAGACTTTTTAAAGCAAGCAGCCTTGCTATAGAGGGCAGAGATTAAAAAGTATTGTCTTATATGAGGTACCAGCCAAAGACAGCACTGCAAAGAGAAGGATAACTTGACACAAACCCTATACCAACCCGTCTGAAGAGAGGCCTATGTCCTGCAATGGATTATTAAAGGCTGTTGATGTTATGTGATGAAGAACAGAATGACACTAGTATAAGCAAAGGAGTTTGAAACAGAATGAGGTGCACTACATTTTATTTTTATCAACTATCATAGTTAGTACACTTTACTATCTAGTTTTTTTTTTATTTATTCTACTTGCTACATTCAAAACACCTTAGTTTAATAGCTTTTGATGGCATCTGTTTTTAGAGAAGATTTTTACAGATCCTTCCCTCTATCATCCATAGTCTAGGTGCAAATATTTATGTAGCTATGAATTCTTCACCTCTTTTTTCCCCAATTTGAATCTGATTTAAAATTTATTCAATTAATTTTAAATTTATTACCTATTATATTTCCATTACATATGTATTATATCAGATCTCTACTTAATAAAATTTAAATTGATGAACTAGAAAAAAAATTCCTTTTTTTAAATTATTTTTTACTTATTATGTGTATATTGTAATGTTATTACTTTTACTTTTATACCTATTGTGTACATTCATTTGTTACGATGAAAATATATCACATAAACATATGATCTATAAATGAATATAATATTTATATTATTTACAGAAACTCAAGAGGTTTAATAACTTTTCTGAATAAATGTTATGAACAATTCTATTGAAAAAAGGTTTCTCTTTACTGTGTAAAAAATATTTTATAATTATATGGCAATATTTTGTTGAAAAATATAATTAAAAATAAACGAAACACGTTTTACACGTCGGTATAGAGAAAGTGTTCGTACAATTCTCTAGAACGCATAAAAAGATAGCTGAAAGTGAGTAAATGGTGTTCACTTTTGCCAAGAATTAAAAAACTTATTACTTCCTTTTTAAAAAAAGAACGGTCATGGTGTAGATTATTAATTGGCAAGTCCACATCAGAGTTAAATTGATCTAGGTCGTACGACGCGCATACGTATAAGAAACATCGTTAGCCAAAAAGCCGTCAGAAAGTCATACTAATATAGAACATATGCTATGACAAATCTAAACATTAATACACGACGAATCAATAACATCTCACACAGTACACAAACAAAATCAATAATTTCAACAAGAAACTAACCACACTGGCGGTGTCTTGGCTGTCTAAAGAATACTTGTCCGTTTCCTTCCCTTGGTGGTCGTTGGAGAAATTTTCATATTTACGTGAGGGACTACTTTTCATTGTTCACAAGATGCCTTTCAGCTTAGGCCTCGAAAGACATTTTCACACCCAAGAAAGCGACACGAACAACCAACGATTAAATATCCACTGACAGAAAATGCACCTAGCGAACCTGCTAGTGACAGTATATTGACAATCGAGATTTGACACTGACATCTTTAAGAAACCTAAGGAAACCATACAGGAACAGGTTTTAAGATTAAAATAATTGTTTGTCCCTAGTTTTATTGTTACATTAAAATAAATTTCAACGTTGAAATATAAAAACAAAATAAATCTAATGATCTAGATCTTATGTTCTATTAACAAACGAACCCATGAATAATAACTACAACTAGTCTGTGGTTTACAGATGATTCAGCGCAATTTCTAAACGTAAGCTTCTAGAATCAAATAAGGTTATACGATCTAGAACACAAGATTTTCAAAAGCTAGGTCATTTACACATTTTACACTTAGAAGTAGGCTATTGTAAGCACAGCCTTATGAAGACATTAAAACAGACTATCATTTTTACAGGTACATACCTAGATCGTTTTTCATATAAATCGAAATGGCTTCGTACCTACTTTCAATAACACATGGCTTTTTGTAATACTTATCACTAAATTAGTTACTCACGTTTTTGATATCCTCAGAATCATCGTCGTACAGTTGCACCTTGGTGTATTCTCTATAACCATCATTTTTTTGATTTCTACGAAACATCTGTAAAATAATACATTTTGACACTTTTCCTTTTTAATTTGCCACATAAAAAAGTTTTTATATCCAAGAGCACACTACATACACTGTTTAACTAATATATTTAACGAACTTGCACTTTGGTTATAAATTATTACTGCCTACTCACCTAAGTTTATTTGAATTAAACTAAGTATGCGTATGTCATACTAACAGCATAATAACACGATTACTACTAAACATACGTAAAGTTGATTGGGTAGGTGTCGTAACTAGCATAGCCTTATCAATTTTTGTGCCGATAAAAATATATAAGTACCTACTTGGTCAGATTTGGGCTATAAGATAAGAAACAATTGAGACAAATTAAACAAAAACTGATTACCAATACAATTAGGCACCTCCTATTTAGATACTATTTTAACCAGATAGTTTGTTAGGCTGGATGGTTGTTTATTACTCTTATATGAGTACCTACCGAAAAATGGGTATGAAACTGATTTTGATGAAACTTTAGAGAAATATTGTTGATAGGTTCATTTTTTATTTTTTATGTATACCTAGATAACGAAAAGTTAGAGCTATAATATGTAAAGGCGGTTTATAAAATTTCGATAAAATACCTATATCCTGATAGTTACTTTGGCGTCAATTGCAAACATACCTCCAATATTAGTTACATGAAGATAGTACTGTTCGATTAGTTATTTGAAATGGTTTTTACAAAGTCTTTGTATGTATTTTATGTAGAGAAAGCAGAGATGTAAATGATTATTTAGGCTAGTTATGGACCTACCACTAACATTTATAGATATTTACCTAGATTGCTAGTTCAGATGTAGTGAAGATCTTTATTTATCGAGTATATTAAATGGATTGCTGTCATTTATCTGAATTTTACGATGTTGTACGAATTTACGAGTACGACCATTTGTTTTGCGTCTGTATGTAATTTATCTGCAATATGTGTGTTTTAGAAATATATATGTGTTTATCAGCAGTCTGGTCACCATAGTACAAGCTCTGTCTAGATTGCGATCAGAGTGCCATGTGTGAAATGTGTATGTACGTAATGTACTTTAATTTGGCAAATTTTAATCCTAGAATACTTTAGCTGAAAATGAGTTTAATCTTGATCGCCTGTTAAGACACCATAAGTTAGATTTACCGCAGCTTATTATTGGGCCTGGTAACGATTTTTGACTAGTATTTTTTGAAGTGACAATAATTGTCTTTAGTTAACATAAAATAAATAGTCTTTCTTACTCATATTTTATATTCATATGCAATGTTTGTGCATGCAATAACTTGTGAGGATGATGTCGCTATATTTATATGACTTTCTTATAAGTCAATTAGAATACTGTATTTATACATTATAACCATTTTTTTTACTGTTTTTAACAATTGCAAAGGAAAAAGAAAAAAAAGAAAAATGATCTAACATGATTTATTGTATTGCCTATAAATAAAATTAACAAAACATTTCTACGCCTTGAAGCAGTCCTGTACTCCGAATCCAGGGCCAGTTGGAGGTTCGGTTAAAGATGTGAGCCCGCCAAGTGGTTCTGATGCGTACCTTCCGCTCCTGGTGACAAAAACGTGATAAATACGTGGTGATAACATTACATTTAAGTAAGGCGTAAAGTCAAAAGTGGTACATTAAAACTAAGTCAATAAAAGGCAGTTGAGAAAGGGCAATGGCAGGCTTGTATAGGATCTTGCGTACCACCTTGATTGTTGTATTTATTTGGCTGGTAATATTACCGACAAAAGTTAGCGTACAAAAGTTATTTCAGTTTGTAGTTTACATTTATGCTGTATTGAAGTCGATACCCATGACAGCTAGCTGTCACAAATGAGTTGTCATTGCTGTCAACAAGTCAACATAAGTATCTTATTATCAATTTTTTTATACACCATCTCCGTAAATTTTAATATTTTTCTGTCAACGTTTCCAAATAGTAAATATATTGTTTTGTCCTATTATTACACGCTTTATATTAGCTTCACTTGTATGTTTGTAACCGACTCCTTTGGGCGTGATTTTGACCGGCTTTCATCATCATCATCATCATCATCAACAGCCTTTAATAGTCCACTGCTGGACATAAGCCTCTCCTTAAAAAGGAGGTTTTGGCCTACTATTTTTACTGACTTTAAACGGTCAGAATTCGTTCAAACTTTGTAGATATATCGAGGACCGATGACAATACACTAATTTGAACACGCTTTTATGGACAACCAAACTAAAAAATATAAAATAAATTTTAATAAATTTGTAAAAAAGCGTGGGGTGCTTTTTACTATTGACAACAGGCACCCAAAGCTTTTTTTTAAATATTTTTTTAAATTAGTGTATTGTCATCGGTCCTCGATATATCTACAAAGTTTGAACGAATTCTGACTATACTGATTTTTTACTACAAAAATCTTTTTAGTTACATATGTATGTAGTAGACAAATTATGTAGGTACATGTACATTACATATGTTAACGATTAGTCTAATAGATTTGAACAAAAATGATTAGAACTCCTTCAATTAGTTCATTTAAAGTAATTCATTCCTTTATTATTTTTCTTCATTCGTTTAATCTGTATAGTCAATATTGGTGACAAACAATGTTTTGTTTGTAACTGCTAAATACACAAGTGAGCTAATTCTTAAATAAAGATTTAAACTTTCGTTTTTTAAGTAATTTATAGATTACGCATGCCAAGTTTAGCAAACGTGGAAACGTGGCGTTTTGTTGACAACACTTGAACGTTTAGCTATGGCAGTTGTAACACTTTTGAGAAGAATAGAATAGAATACCAGTTTATTGATTTCAGCATTACAGCACTTTTGTAGAAATATACAGAAAAACTATAATACCGAAATCAAAAGGTCTAAGCGTCAGCTTATGCTCGGACTTCACATGAAGGATTTATATAGTTTTAGCAAAGTTCTAAAAATATGATAATTACATGAAAATAGTTATGATCATGCACTTTATAAGTGAATACCGATGATGGCAGAATTCTAAAGTCGAGACCTGAGCTTCTAAGTGAGATGGAGTTATACACGGCAAAATTGGATCCTGTTACTGACTTGCCGAAAGATCGAAGGGCTCAGTTAACCCGGCACTATACCCGACGTCAGTCTGTACGAGATTAGTATGGCTCAAACCGCTCAAAAACAACAAGGCACCTGGTGAAGACGGAATTAAGGCTCAACTCTTGAAGGCAGGTGGAAAACCGGTTTTGAAAATCCATTAGAAGATATTTATAATAATTCCGTCATACTCGATGGGAAGACTTCTCAGGCATGGTTCAGGTGGTGCTTTTCCTCAAAAAGGATGATAAAAAAATACCTGTATGTACAGGCACCAAAAGGACACATATAAAGGTGTTGTTTTAGTGCCTGTTCAAGATATAGGAAAGCCTTCAATTACTGCACATCTTTGGTTTTTTTTTTTTTCAAACTTTATTTGACTTGTCTGCTTGTTTGCCACTGCTCATAGCCAGCTACATCTTAAGAGACACAAGTGTGTTGCCAAAATGCTCGTTGAATGTCTTTTACTCCCCAGAAATCGTCTAGTAATATAGTAATAGCAGAATATGTGGTTTGCAGATTCGTTAAAAGATAGATCACACGCTGTATATCTTGGTGTGCAATAATTTGTTTAGTATTAACATTGTATACCTTGGTCCAGGTACTGGTTTTTCGTCTTTCTTAAACTTGGCGATTATTTCTTTGGTATCTTCTACAGTTAGATCCTCCTGAAACCACAAAGTAAAAAAAAACATTTATTTGAAATTTCTATTCATATTTGAAACTAGCTGGTACCCGCGACTTCGTTCGCGTGGAATTTGAAAAGTGCTGCCTTAGTGGGTTCGATTCCCGGACCGGGCAAAAGTTTTTCTATGAGGAAAAGTAGCCTAAGTTACTCCTTTTACAGACAGCTACCTGGTGGTAAAATATTATCAAAATCGGTGAAACCGTTTAGACGATTACCCGAACAAACAGACAGACAAAAAAAACTGTTTTTTAGGCATATGTATCATGCAAATAACCGTGTGAGCATGAAAACTATTATTTTGATATTACAAACAGACACTTTAATTTTATTTATTTGTATAGATTAATATTATTAAAATCGTGTTTGGACTGGCCTGTTGGTCTAGTGGTTAGTGACCCTATTTGCTAAGCCAGAGGTCGTGGGTTCGATACCCACCCAGGACAAATAATTGTGTGATGAGCATGATCATTTTTCTGTTGGGATGAAATTTATCTATAATAGGTATGTATCTAGACAGAATCAGACAGCCATGTGTGAGATGTGTCTTGTTATTATAATCATATTTAATATAATTGTTTACTTACATAATAATCATCATTGACTTGCAGCATAGGAGCATTGACGCAAGCACCTAGACATTCAACCTGTAAAAATTGTACAGAATTTTACCATTTACAACAAGTTAAATATTTTTTTTTAAATTAGGTGTTGCAAGTTAATGTACACTTCTTTATAAATCTACATAATAAAGAATATGTAGGTTTGTCCTCTTGACATAGGTTATTTATGTAGCGGGGCTTTTGCGACCGAGACCGCAATCCCGAATTCCCTTTTTGATAAAATTATTATTTTTAAAGTAGTATATTGGGACCACTACTAAAATGTCTTGGTAAAGTCAACAAAAAAATTAGAAGTTATACAAATAAAACTATTTATATGAAATGATAAAATATTTCTTTTATTTTAAGAATAGCAGTCTTCTATCAGAATCAAATCTAAAAAAAACATACTCATTACGAAATATAATTACAATCTTGAATATTTATTAAACATTAAATTACAAAAGTTTAATTAAAAACATTGTTTGTAACTGTTTACTATCGAAAGCTGTGGTTTTAATAAGTTCTAAATTTTTTGTTGACCGTTCTTTCCCAAGACATTTTAAGTAGTGCTCACAATATACTTTCCTCAATTATTATTTTTATGCCATAAGGGGGCAAACTAGCAGACGGGTCACCTGATGGTAAGCAACTACCGCCACCCATGTCAATGCCTGCAACTCAAAAGTCACAAGTGCGTTGCCGCCCTTGGAGTCCCTCCCGCTCGGGTCAGCGGGAGGGGGGATTTGGGTTCCGGTAACCTCACTCACTCAGTGAAAGGCAACGAAAGAATTGCTTAATACCGGTTTTCTGTGAGGCCGTGGTATCACTCCCGTCGAGCCGGCCCATTCGTGCCGAAGCACGACTCTCTCACGGTGAAAAATAATTATTCTATCAAAAGGGAAATTGAGAACCGAGGTCCCGGCCCGAAAGCCCACGACCCGCATACTTTTCGAAAATATTTATAACTAACTTTTACTCACAGGTTCACTCGCCTTGTAGTAATTTTTAAACCCTTTGTAACTTCTTTTCGGATGCTAGGCACTCTATTTTTGACCCAATAATGTGTGTTTGTTTAAATTTTATGATAATCAGATGATCTCTGACTTAAAATACGAACCAACGTGTATAATAAAAAAAAAAACATATTACATTACTTTCTTAAAGTTTCTAAAAATAGGTTATAGAGTACCAATATTAATGTTTTGCATTACTTTTAAAGAGAAAATACGGGTTAGTAACAGCAACTGTGCTATCAAGCCCTTTGTAACCTAAAATTGTTGTTTATTAAGTTTCAATAGAAATATTTAGTAGATACAACTCTTCTTTGTAGAAGATTTGTATGTAGAAGAGTAATTGTAGAAGTTCTTTGTAGAAGAATTGTGTGTTGTAATCTTGAGTACCTTTAATTGATCATTTGTGTCATTAAAATAAATAAATAAACACTTTGTTTCACTAATATTGACAACATCAGTTTTATATGTATAGATAGAAGATAATATAGGCATATAAACATATAATTAAGCTTCAGTGGGGTTTATCTCAAGTTACCTTAGCCAGCCAGGTACCAGAGTAGCGATAACCAGTGGTCAAGAACCTAATCCTCACACAAGCATATAGCTCCGATTAGCTTGAATGCATATTCTAGTATTCTTAATTAAACAATGAATATATGACACAATGAATGATAATTTTCAGAACTTACTTCAGAAACAGAAAACTTGCCACAGGGGCTGTTGCCACCAACTTCACATTTAGTATCTTCAACAATAGCTTTTAAGATAGCATCGGACCCACGCAGCCAGCAAGGTGTCGTGGTGCACACCTGGAGGTGATATTTACCGACTGGTCGTCTGAAAATTGATATGTATTTATTTAGTAAGTACAAATCAAACTGTACATACTGAGCTGAAAAAACAAGGGTATTTTTGGAAATGTTATTGTACTGCTGTTATTTATTTCATTTCCTTTGAATATTGCGTTTATTAAAAAATTATAGTAGCTGAAAATACTACTCCTAAAAAGTTCTAAAATCAATCCAGAAAAAAACCTAACATTCATTTATAAAAAAAAAATATTTTTAAGCAAATGTACTTTTAATCATTTATATTCCTTAATAACAAAATAAGTTTTAGAACTTTTATTTTGACAATACGATAATGACGATAACACACTTTGTATTTTTGTATTTGTATTAAAATGTTTAATGTCAACCATGCAAATCATATAAGTAAATTAATAAGGTTAAAAAAAATATAACCTTCACCTTATTTCCTTATACATAATCTGCATTCCATACCTATTATTTAACTTAAAATATACAATCTTGCCTTCTTTATATATTATTAAAGTAGGGAAATTCGTTAAACAGCACTCATTATTATTTGAAGAGGCTAAGGATCTTAGAGGCAGAGAGGACATGAGGAATCCAGACCGGCTGGTACTTGATATAATACCCAGAACTACAAAATTTAGAAAAAAAACAGTTACTCAATGTACATTAAAATTTATAATAAAATTCCTAGTCGATTTAAGGAACTGCCATTGAATAAGTTTGTACCAAACCTAAGTTATTGGCTAATGGAAATTTGTTTCTATTCTGTACAAGAGTTTCTCACATATTGTGACCAATGAGTAATGTCTATATTGTTAAACTTAAAAAATTGTATTAATAATAATGAGCAATTTTAATATTATTATAAATGATGAAATCTATACTAATATTATAAAGCTGAAGAGTTTGTTTGTTTGAACGCGCTAATCTCAGGAACTACTGGTCTGATTTGAAAAATTCTTTCAGTGTTAGATAGCCCATTTATCGAGGAAGGCTATAGGCTATATATCATCACGCTAAGACCAATAGGAGCGGAGCACCAATGAAGAATGTTTCAAAAACGGAGAAAACTTATTACTATTGAGAGACGCAGACGAAGTTGCGCGGGTTAGCTAGTATAGTATAATGTAATAATTAATTAAAAATTTAATAAATTAGTAATATTTAAGGAAAAATTGCGTGCTGTTACTTGAATGGCTGAATGAGCTTGTACATTTTGTTTACTAACAACCCACCACCACTCTGTATCCTTATTTACAGCAATAAAAGTGTTTGTATTTGTATCTTTATATTATATAACAGACAATATACTATTTTTTTTTCTTTTAAAAAGACAACTCCTGCACTTTACAAACATACATGAAACGGGCACAAAGAACACCCAGACTCAGAACAACAATTTGTGGATCACACAAAGTGTTGTCCCATGTGGGGTTAGAACCCACAATACTCAACGCAATAGGAACTGGTGTGTCGACCACTTAAACCACAACGGCTTAACTTGTACACTTAAGTGCAACGAATTGATAATACAATGTCTTTTATTCTAAAGTTTGTAGTAACCTGTATTATCAGACAATGTTTATTAATATCTCTACAAACTTACCTAATAAACATAGTATAAAATGTAGCAACTTCATATACTCTCATGCGAGGTAGATTAAGGATTTCAGCAACTTTGTGCATGGCGGAGAGAGGCAGCCAACCTCCATTCTGACGCTGAGCCAGGTCCAGTATAGGAATCATAGCCCCACGCTTGTGGCCCTCTGGGTATATGGCTAGAAGAGCATCAATCCTCTGAAACATATAATTGAATATTTGAGTTCCGAAAGCAAATAAGTACAATTTGTAGTATAGTATGTAACAAACTAAACGAAACCACTTAAGAGCTTATGTACTTAACCAAAGTCAATAGATTTATTAGTAATTGTTTTATATTGTTGATATATATTTTCAGAACAGGTGTAATGTCCGTCCAAGGACCTTCTAACCAAATGAGGTGATCATGAGCAAGAGATTCCAGGTGTAGGATCAAACTCAACTTTCATTGCATGATGCAGTTTTAATAGTTAGTCCTTATGTATGTTTTGTCATTGTATGTTGGTGGAAGTCACCACATATTAATTTTACTCATAATATAATTATTGTAAAACTTTCACAGAATATATTTACTCAATCACTTCTTACTGTCTACAAATTTAGTACATGAATTAAATATTGAATATGATACATAACTAGCAAAGAAATACAGAGACCTGCCATGAAATTATTCAATAATATTAATGTTTAAACTTATATAAAACAAAAAGTGCAGTATTATTAAATAATTTGTGGACACTGAACTCTTTTTATATTATGCTTATAATGTTAGTTTTAGCCTTTCAATTACCAATATTTTTATTTTTTATTTATTTAATTTTTTTAGAAATTATTTAATATTTTATGTCAAAAGATAAATATAACAATTATTAGTATTTTTTTCTAGTAATTAAAGGCTTATACAACCAATGGAATATAAATTAATATTGCTTTTAATAATAAATAAAGTCAACAGATAAAAGAAATATTACAGTAGATAACCTAAAATACATATATACATAGGTGAACAACTTTTAATAAGTTCCTAATAAACGAATTCAAGAAGCGTTAGCAAAAGCTTACGATTTTTAAATACGGAATAAGTTATTGCAAAAGAATGTTTTCAACAAAACAGATGACTACTATGACAGTTCTGGATTATACCTTTTTGTTGGCTTCTGAAAATTCGAAGGGAGTATTAACATTGTCCTCAGGAGTATCACGGTGTACGAAAAGACTATCATGTTGAAGAACCGAACTAGTTTGAAGACTTCTAGCAGGCACACGCCACTGCAAATAAAAAACTCTTGTACTACATCTGAATGATACAAAATGTCAAAATGTTATTATATAATATGTATTGTTTATATTAACAGCAGGGTAATATATATGTTGGTATCTACCTACCAAGCCCTTGATTCCAGTCCTGAGGCTGGATAGCATAATTATTGGATTAATAGTCCTAAATTAAAAAATAATAATATTGCGAAACACTGTTCGCCAACACTCGTCTTTGACATAAACTAGTGGATAAGTGGAGTTGGAGTTGCCAGTAGCGATAATTCGTTTTAGACTGTTGAACCTGAAAAACTCCACAAAATCAATTACGTATTATTATACTAATATATAAAGTTAAAACTTTGCTGTTATACTTTAGTACCTAGGTTGAACGATGTAGGGTTTAGGGAGAGGGATAGGGAAGACGATAATATAGATTACCGTAGTTTACTATTATGCTTACTTTGAAAATTCGGTATTATTTCATTAATCGAATACTTATTTCTTTAATCTAATAATTGCTACTTCTTTGAGGATACGTATCATCAATGTTGTAATGAGTCAATTTCTTTTCAAATTTATTTCACTTTTTCAGAATTTCTTTACTTCTAAATGCTGCTCAAACAACCGCTGGCAAAAACTGCCTACTAAAAAAACTGAATAAATAGACATTCTCCCCTTGTCTCCAAAAATAGGACTTAAGTACATCTTCCCTTTTCTCATTTGTTAAAAAGGATCAAATCCAAACTTGCTTTCAATACGCCTGCAACTTTATTTTAGCAAAACATTTTTATACGCTTTAGAGTGAAGATAAATGTATTTGAGCGTAAGACTGGAGAACGAGAGAAAGAGTTTCAAATTTGTTTGGAAACACTATGATTAATTAAAAAATAATAAAACACTAATATTACCTATTATTAAAGTTAGTTCTAAGGTGGCAACGTACTGAACTATTCTGATTCCTCGAAATTTCGTACCCATAAAAAGTTGTTTTCCGCGTTACCTTTCAGGGTCACGAAATTTGTAACTAGTGGTGTACCTATCTAATACATTATTTTAGTATCCTTAGTATTTGAGCTTGTTAAGCTGTGATATATAGTTTAACCTGAACTTTCTCATCAGCTTAATAATGATTTTTAAAAAGGAACAAACGAACAGACCTGACACTTGACAGTAGGGGACATCTGCCTTTGAGCGTCCTAGTTCTCAGAAGTGGGGGAAGGGGGCGCCTTGCTTAAGCCTTGAGCTCGAGTTTTCATACAACTTTAGAAAACCAATAGGAAACTTGGGAGTAGGTAGGTACCTATACTAAAGGAGAAAAGGTAATATTATGGAGAAAAAAGAGATACTGCTTATACGAAAGAATTGAGGAGTGAGTGTTAGCAAAAGCTTTAACAGTCCAGCGTCACATACCTACCTGTTACTCAAACTAGCTGTAGTCGAGAAATCCGAGCTCTAATGTATTCTCTGATCTATAAATCTAATCTTGAATACGTCCCATGGCGTTTAAGAATCAAAGGATTTATTCAAAAATATCCTTCAATTTATTCACATATAGGTAGGTACGCTTAAGTTAGGTACTTTAAACACTTAAAACCGCTCAACCGATTTCAATAAAATTCAAAAAAAGAATTTTCTAAAACAGTTCAGGTGTCTTCGAGTAATCGGCGAACATACATAAAAAAAATCCGACGAATGGGGAACCTCCTTCTTTTTTTAAAGTCGGTTCAAAAGTAAAAGACATCCAAAAAAGGTTTCTACTTTATTTTATTAGTATACTTAAAATATATATACATCTTTTCATTTAAAAGTTATTGTCTGGTTTACTGTGTCTATTTTTCCGTATGAAAAAAGTAAAGTGAGAAAAAAAGGAATAGACAAAGCACGATCGGCAAAACAACGACATTGTTTCCATGGTAACTGCCGCACCGGCGGCCCGCCATGCACCAAAAATTTGTATCTACCTAACTAAGCTGTAAATATTTAAAAACTGAGTTAGGTTGGATAGACCAAAAAAATTAGAACGAGAATAATAATTTGTGTCCAAATGGATATTGGCGATTATAATAGTTACAGAATTAAGTTTAATTTTGAAAAGTTAATTTAGAACGTGGTAACTTTTTTCCATAATAATAATAATAATTTATTTCCATAAAAGATACATTAACATATTGGCATACTTAAAGTTTTTTAAGTATTACATAATATGACATACAAGTTTAGGTCAAAGCTGGTGGTACATAATTAATTCAGTGGTTTTGATTATTACTATACAGTGACTCTCAGAAGATCGCGTTTGACAAGTCATTTACCATCAGATGACCCGTGCTTGACCCCTATCACATAATATAAAAACGAAAATCATTATTCCCGTTATCCCTATACTTATTAGAATTTAAAACTTAACTTAAAGCCACGTGTCGTAAGAGCCGACTAAGGGCGCAAAACAATGCAGGACACCAGCACTGCAAAAAGAAGGAAAACTTGACACAAACCCTATACCAACCCGTCTGGCCAGCGTGGTATAGTAGGCCAAAACTTTCTTTCTAAGGAGAAGCCTATGTCCAGCAGTGGACTATTAAAGGCTGTTGATGTGATGTGATGAAAGCCACATAGAAAGCTTATGCACGTTTAAGTCAATGGATTTGTTAGTTATTGTTTTATATTGTTGATGTAGTGGTTAGTGTCTTTGACTGCTAAGCCTGAGGTCGTGGGTATGATTCCTGATTCCCACCCAGGACAAATATTTGTGTGATGAGCACGATCATTTGTTCTGTGTCTGGGTGTAATTTATCTATATTATGTATGTATTTAGAAATATATGAGTATGTTTATCAGCAGTCTGGTTAAAATATCATACGCCCTGCCTAGTTTGGAATCAGACGGCCGTGTGTGAGATGTGTGTAAATAATTTTATTATATATTTGCGGAACAGGTGTAATGGTCCTAAAACACAAATTGAGGATCCTCTAAAAAAAGCTAGGTGATCAGGCTTTGGAGGCTCCGGCTCAACAGTTCATTTCATTCTGAGAACTAAAATTGCATTATGCAGTGCAGTTAGTTACCCGAAGCGTTCCCACAACCACATAATTGCTCTCAAAGGCGCACTTGTAAGGCGTTGAGTGAGTTGCAGTACTCACTTACCGTCAGATAAATGACTGCTACCATTATGCATGTGACTCATCCGTTCGCTTACCTCCCTCTATATCATAAAAAGTAACCGTATGGTAACGGATTAGGAATACGAAGTTTCATCCCGTGGTTGTCATAAGAGCCAACTAAGGGAGCAACCTCCACAGGACAACAGCTCTACAAAGAGAAGAAAAATTTGAAACAAACCCTATACCAACCCGTCTGGTACCCGTGGTATAGTAGGCGAAAACCTCCTTTCTAAGTAGAGACGTATGTCCAGCACAGGACTACTAAAGGCTCTTGATGATGATAACATCATAAAAAAAGTTTTGACTGCACGGATGGCGTAGTGGTTTAAGCGGTCGCCACGCCGCTTCCTACTACGCCGAGTGTTGTGGGTTCAAACCCCACATGGGACGACACTTTGTGTGATCCACAAATTGTTGTTCTGAGCCTGGGTGTTCTTTGTGTCAGTTTCATGTATGTTTGTAAAGCCCCCTGCGACACGGGATATATTCCTAATGCGGGAGTTGTCTTTCTTTTTAAAAAAAAAAGTCCCTGAGGTTTAAATAGTTTTTTTTTTAAGTTTAGTTAGCGGCTGATACTTCCAAATCTACATTTCATACTTCCAGCTGATTATTAATTTACTGAAATGCTCTTTTATTTTTGTCTCAACAATTTCCGGAGGGTGGTAGGACGCAATTAGGTCGTGCTTCCTTTAATGTGTTTATTAATAATGCACGAATTTGTTAAAATGGTATTCATTGCTCTGTGTTAAAAAGTGAAAAGAGACCCCGTAGCATAAGCCCATAGGGATGATTATTAATAATGTACTATATTGTTAAATTGGTTATACATTGCGTTGTGTAAAAAAGTGAAAAAAGACCCTGTAGCTTAGGGCCACAGGGACTGTTTCCACTGTTTAACGACTTAAAAAGAAAAGGACGCTTTCTATTCGGTTTTTTATGTTTGTTACCTCAGAACCCCAGCGTTTTTATCCGTATAATGTAATATTCGTGCTTCCATCATCGTACGAAAAAAAAAATTTTATTCATTATAGTATTCAGTAAATCATATCATATTAGTATTCAGTAACTCGAAGATGAGCATATACATACAATCACTCACGCGCAAGCACACATGACATACCAACACATTCCAACAAGAACACACACATACACGCACACACACACACAAAGCTCTCACCCATTAATTAGGCAGAAACTTATTCTTTATCTGCTACAACCTATGCTTTCAGCTGTCCAGAGCTTGGAGAGGCTGGTAATACAGGTTATACAGGATAATACAAGAGGATAACACAGGTATAATACAGGTTTCCTAGTGCGGATTACAGGGAGACTGTAATCCGCACTAGGAAACCTGTATTATACAGAGAATACTTATCATTACATACGCTGTACTAATTTATTATTAATTATGGTTGTAAACTGTGTGAGAGAAACATTAAAGTTATTTGTATTTATGAACCGATTTGAAAAACTCGTTTTTTTATTTCAAATCCTCCTGTCTGATTTCATTTAAAGTTGAATAAAAAAATATCTATTGGTGGAAAATTAAGGAATTAAGAATATGTACAGTTTATTACAATTTATCAAAATATTGGTAAGTGAAAGTCGGCGACACTTTTTTAGGACTAATTTTTTTTCGAACTTAATGTGGGTATGCGTGTAAAATGAGTATTGTGGCTTCTCTATAAATGCATTGATATTAGCTTGAATATAGCCGTGGGAAAAAAGCTAAGCCTTAAAAGTGTTGTGAAAGGTTAGAAAAGGGAAAAAAGCAGAAAGCAGAGAGGAGTTTCCTTGACGAACCTGGGTCTAATGGTTAACGATCTTGGCTGCTAAACCAGAGGTCGTAGGTTCGATACCCACCACCATTAGTTCTGTTGTCCGTATAGTGACGGATTAAGTATACGGAGTGTCACCACCCCCATTCATCTAGTAGATGGCGTAGCAGCGGACTACGGGAGCAAACTAAGCAGGACAACAGCACTGCAAAGCGAAGGAAAACTT